ACAAGAGATACGCAATAGGGTCAAATCCATCACTTGGAGATTATTTAACCTATGAAACATGTTCACTTAGTAGCTAACCCACATCACTAAGAGTCCTACAAAGCACAAAGCAAGAAACATTCGAGCAACATAAAATCTAACCAACATACAAACTAATCAATTCGTTCAATCTAATTATCTGAAAACCATGCTAGCATTCAATTTCTAAAAGCTCAAACAATCAGGCATATAAAGGCATCTCTCCTAGCATGAAATCCTGACCAGATACTTAGCCCTAATCTAGCATGCAATTCTCATAATATACAACATAATAAACATGTATGGGCATTCTGGGAATCACTTACTGGAGTTCGGCCATTTGCAAGCATCACACCCCTTTCTTTTATTAGAAAATCCTTTAATAAAACATTAATTTTATGAAAATTTCACCAAACCCTCAGTTTGATTTTGGACACACCGGAGAGTATAGTGAGGAGACTCACCTCAAGCTACTAAATATCTCAAATCAAAGCTCGAACTGCCAATCCGGAAAATCCCCGTGCTAACATCATCAATAATACAAAATTAATATTTGGTCCACAACCCATAGCTGGAATCCAAGTTTGATTGTCCAAGACTCAGGGTAAGAGTCCATTTTACCCTTTCCTCACTTGGCCCAAAATTCGAAGCTCAAACCAATAACATCAAAAACCCAATATGGCCCAACTTCCTAATTTGATCCAAAACCCATCATGGGCCTATTGCAAGAAGGCATAAATTCCTAAGGGATACCCAAATCTCCAAATGCGCCCAATCACAAGAAGGCCCACAGACAAAAAACTAGGGCCCAACAAGGCCCAAAACCACATCTTATGTCGTGACCAATCCTTGGCCATGTCGCGAGAGTTCAACAAGCTCATTAGAAATGGCACCAAATGCTCCTCATGCCGTGAGACCTTGTGTCATATGTCTTGAGAACAATTTGAGGCTAAAACTCCCATTTTTAAGTCCTTAATCCATTAAGCCTTCAACCCTAATTTTTCCAGAAGCTAAAGATGACTCCAAAGGTCAATAAAATTGATTACTTGATGGACATGCATGCCCCATACATGTCCTAAACACATCTTATGTCAAAATGACAAGAAATGTCAACTAAACTTCATATCCATAATATATGATGCTCAAGGGATCCTTAAAGGCCATAAAGTTGCCAACTTTATGGATTTCCTCCATGCAAACTTTCATAATCATGAAGGAAAAGGGATCGTAGATCTAGAAACTTAAACTCATAAAGGTTGAATCTTTGACACTTACAATGGTCCTGAATGTACACAAGATAATGATGGTGAAGCCTCCTTGTTGGACCAATACTCTAGAACACCATCTTCTTCTTATTCTTCTTCTAGCCACTATAACACCAATATGGATCCAAAACCTCAAGAAGGGGTGAGGGTCAAGGTTTTCTGATTTGAAGGGTGGTGGAGGCTGAGAAATGAACCCTAAAACCGAGTTAAGGGAGCTTAAATACGTGGGAAACCCTAAAAGTTCGTGGGATTAGGTTACAGCGCTCCTCACGTCATGAGCTCATATTGATCACGTCGTGAGCTCAATCTCGAACATAAATCTTCATGCTTCCCATCTTACGCTGTGAGCCCTTTATGTCTCATGTCGTAAGGCTCCTTGTTCTCCAAAACTTAACCTTTTGACTCCTTGAAGCCCCAATTCGATTCATCCAGGAAAATAGGTGTTACAACTTGTGGCTTACCGGTGATTAAGGATTGAAGAATTTATAATGAATCAAAGACTATTTTTTACCTATGAATAAAGACATATTTTTATCAAAGAATTTTTAAAAAGATCTTGGGGATTTCTTATTAGTCAAAGTAGTGTGCCAATTTTTTGACTTCAAGTGTGTGAAATCTCAGTATTACTCATTAGGAATTGCTAATATGTAACTTATATTTTTAGATGTATTCAAGTGATATAAGTGAATGAAGACTTTAGAGGAGGACCTGGATTTTAGAAGCCTATGATTGCTCTAATGGTTTACTTGAACTTGTGTAATGATATAGTATTGATCCACCCTCCTACTACATAACTTTGAATTGCTAAACTTTTGATTAGTTATAAAATACTATAGAACCATATTTTGTTTTGAGTAATTATAAAAGACTATGGGACCATATTTTGTCTACAAAATACGATTTTAAAAAGTTAATTTGATTTTAAATTGTAAATCTAAAAAATGGGTATTTCAACGGCTCATATGAATTTCAAAGTTTAACATATAAATGTCAAATGTGTATACTTAAATTAATAATACGGAACAAACTTTGGGTTTGCAAAATATTGTTTTCAAAAACATTTTTATATTTTTGCCAAGTTTGTTTATGGACTTAAACAAACTCCACATGCATGAAACTCATAATAAATTTATTAAGATGTCTAATATCAAGCAAGATTCGAAAGATGCAGCTCGTTTTCGTAAGAAGGCTCGACCATCTTATGTTTGTTTAAATATTTGTTGATGATATCAAATTTGGTTCTATAGATCTTAGTTTATCAAAAGAATTCGAAGATCTCATGAATTTTTTTTTGAAACGAGAAAGACAGGAAAAATAATTATTTTTTCAAGGTTTAAATATACGAAAAAATAGGGAATGAAATTTTCACTACAAGAAAAAGACCCTTTAACGACGCGCAAATCACGACACTCATTGATTTATGTTACGCAAAAGAGAGTGACATTAAAAAAGTGTCGTCTCTTCAAAAAAATTAAGGATTTATGTCACGCATTAGTACGTGCCCTTAGATTAGTATCTCATGTAAAAAAAAAATAAAAACACGGAGAGCACTTTATCTAAAATGTGCGCCCTCTGTGAGTGTCACTTTATGTTTTACTCAAAACACGCGTTCTTGAAAGGGGGAAATGGGGAAATGAAATCCCAAAAAATTAAAACCCCGCCTATTCCATGTGAAAAATTAAAACCCGCTCCTCTTCCAATTAGCAAGAAAGAAGCCTAGGGTCTTCGTCTTCCTCTCTCTCTAACCTAAAACCCAATGCAATTTCATGGAGATTGTTACTATGATTTAAGAAGCAAAGAAGAAGAGAAGCAAGGATAGTACTACTAAATTCCACAAAATCGCAGGGACTAGGGCTTTTTTTTCAAGAATGAAAACACTTGGTGCTCTCTGGCCTCTGCAACAATCAATCGATGATCTCGCCTCACATCTCAGGAAACATCTTTTCTCACTTCTCCTCCAACGACCTTAGGGGTATTTTCCTCCGGCGACCTCGGGCTCATGTGACTTTGTCGGAGACTGCTTGAATTTCCACACCCTAGCCTGACTAAGATATGCTTTGGTTATTATCTCTTCCTAATGTTTTCGTTCTTCTATTTCTTTAATTTCTCCTCTATTCATAGCTTTGATTTCAATTTTGGATCTTCTCATCTTCTCCTGTGTAAAACCCTAACTGAAAAACTATGCAGGTTTCAATGGCGATTTCCTCCTCATTCCACGATCCTTACTTCTACTCTCTAATGTAATGATGTTTTTTTGTTTTCAAACAGGGTGGTTTCATTGGAGCCTCTGTCAAAGAGAATTGAAGTAAACGAACAAAAAAGAATGAAAACAAAAGTAAATGAACAAAAAAGAAAGAAACAAATGAAAGGTATTCACCTAGGTTAATATTTAATAATCTATCCTTTCTCCAAGGGAAAAATCGTAAATTTCGACTTTTTTGTAAACAGGGAATGAGAAATTCGGGCTGCAGAGGAAAGACTATTGCAGAAAGATGTTCCAAGAACAGCTGATGATTATGAGAAGCTGATAAGAACCTCCCCAAATAGCAGCTTTATCTGGATAAAATATATGGCATTTTTCTCTCCTTGAATGAAGTTGAAAAGGCTCGATCAATGGCTGAAAGATATATAAAAATAAAAATTCTTCATAGTTGATTACAAAAATTATATAATTTTACAGTTTTTGGTTGTTGTTTAGGGCTTTGAAGACAATTAATATAAGAGAAGATTCAGAGGAGCAGAATGTTTGGGTTGCATACTTTAACTTAGAAAACGAATAAGGGTCCCCACCAGAGGATGTAGTGGTAAAAATATTTCAAAGGGCATTGCAATTTTTATTTAAGAACTATATGCTTAGAGCTTCCAGTTAAGAAGATGAAGGTGAGTTAGTTATTGTTGTTGATTCTATTTTTTTACTTATACGGTTATGATTTATATATATTTGTTGGATTTTGCAGTTTTTATTTAAGAAGTATCTTGAATTTGAGAAGAGCTGAATATGTTAAGGCGGAGGCTCTTAAGTTTATTAAGAAGTTCTCTTACTTTTTTTGTTAAGCATGTCATATGTAGAAAAAGGGAAAATACATCAGTAGTTTGTTTTTGAATATAATAGCTTACTATCTCATTTGATTCAGGGGTATATCTGTAATATCGTAAATACTTTATATGATATATTTTTTATGGTGATTTATCATAAACATATATATTTTTTGTGACAATACAGAGGATTTTACTAAAATTCCAACAGATAGCACTAGCCGAAAAAGTGGAAGATGGGAGAAGGAGGCTTATATGGGTTAGTCTGGACTTTAATCATTTGAAATTTTGGATTACTATTCTTTCTGTTTTGACAACTTAATTAGGATCTTTAAGTGATTTGGTTGATGTTTTATAATCTAGGATATGTTTATTCTTATAAAATTTATTTATTTTAAAATTCAGAATATTTGGGTTTGTAATCTTATCGGGAAAATGGCTTAGAAGTAGACAAATACGCTGCAAAAGAGTATTTGTTGTTGGATCCTGATGCTCGCCCAATAATGAGTGAAGTTGTTCAGATACTTCTAACTATAGCACCAGAAAAATCTAAAAGGCGGAATTTCTCCGTTGATTGCTTTTAGGTTTGACTTTGACTTTGAATTTGTCTCTGTCTGTTAAGTCGTTTTTTCAGCGCTCTGAAACAAATCTTAATTTCTTTAATAGGATTATACCATTAGAATGGAACGCGAGCTTCAACAATTGTCATCCAGTAGATCTTTTTTGTCTGAATCTTCATTGCTTGTGCATACCCCTCATGAAAACGAAGAACTAGTTACAGTTACAGGTCCCGGTTCACATTATGCACTGGTGAGGCTGCTGATTGATTTGACAGCATCTGGTGACCTTGATCTCTACGACAAGGTTAATATGTTTATAGTTGTACTGGGTCTCCTCCTTCAAGTTTTGCATTTATATACTTAATTAATTATTAATTGGGTGTTCGTTAACATGAATTTTACATAGTAGTTTCCATCAACTGTCTCCTAACATGAATTTTACATAGTAGTTTTGCATTATCAATGGTTTGTTGGATCCACACCTCTTTCAAACTCACCCCAATTCCAAATGCTACAACTGAGGTAATTACTAATTTGTGGTTCTTTTCTGAATTATTTTTTTTAATGACATCTCACTCTATGTAATTGTTTTATTCTTTTTCTTTAAGTGTACTGGCCAGATATCCCCCTATATTTGCTCTATCTTCACCAGTTTCCCCAGGTAAATAACAAAAAAAACCATAAACCCTAAACAGTCTTTCCTAATTGTGTCATTTAGATATCAATTTTTACCTTTTTGCATAGGAACCAAATGCCCAAAGGTTTTGAAGCTTGATGTGCGTGGAGAACTAGTGGAGTGAAACATAATTACATGCCACCTAGAGGTTGCATGGTGTGGTGGGACCCCAGCAAAAGGCATTTCTAGGTAAGCCATGTTCATACAATTACTATGTAATTTGACTTGTCAATAGAAGGCTTAATTAATACTTGTTGCTTTTTTCAGTTGGTTAAGGAGAAGATGGAATAGTAGTCTAGTGGTGATTTCTGGTGCTAAAAATGAGGAGTATTTATTGACTCTAGATGACTTTGATTCATGTCTAGTTTATAAGATTACTCAAAATAGGAGAAAATTTTGCTTCTAGATCTTGTGGTGATTTGTAAGTCCATTATATTATTATTATTTCTAGATCTTGTGGTGATTTGTAAGTCCATTATATTATTATTATTATTATTATTATTATTATTATTATTATTATTATTATTATTATTATTATACATGCCCATTATTATTTTTGTTTAATTTAACTCTGAATAATCTCTATCTTTTTTTTTTATTCTTGGCAAGGCATCATAGTGTATGTGTTGATCAAGAAGTTGCTGCCAAAATTCTTAGATCTGAGCACTTGAATGAAGCATTGGAGCATGAATGAAGCATTGATCCTTGACAAGGCAGATATGGACAATGATCTTGAAATGGTATTGACTATTTACTATTTACGTTATTATGTCCACCAGAACAGATAATCTCTTGCCCTTGACTTTTCCTTTGGCAGTTAACTTTTTCATGTCCTTTAAAAGTATTTAAGGAGGTGCAGGAAGAACATCATACAAGCATTTACAAGGAGCTGTTGTATCTATTCAGACTAGGCTTAGAGCAATGGCTGCACAAGATGAGTTCAGAAGAAGAAGAAGATGGAGCAACGCTGAAACTATAGTTGTGAATTCTAGCAGAAGATATCGTGTACGTGTTCTTGTGTTGCTATTGTCAATTCGGGAACATCTTTGCTTACGTACTGGTCAGACTGTAAATAATTTTTTTATGGTATTTTATATGTATTTTATTTTGTATTTTGTATGACATTAACTTTTGTGTAATGGATTGTACTTTTTGTATATGGTATTATATTTTCTATTATGAGACATGAAATGCAAATTTAATTCGAAAAATAGTAAATCTATAAATATTTTTTTTTTAAAAAAATAAAAATTACGATACGCAAAAATGTGTGTCATCTTCATTTATGACATGGCCTTTCTTGACAGCGGCTTTAATGATACGCATTGCGTGTCATAAATGCGCGTCGTAAATGCGCGTTGTCTCTCGTTATGACATGGCCTTCCTTGACGCGCATTTGTGCGTCGTCTGAGCGTTTTACGACGCGCAATGAGCGTCGTAAAAGGCTGTTTTTCTAGTAGTGTTTATTAACCAATAATCTTATACTAATAAAATATAATCATGTTTTAGTATGGAGAATTGTTCAAATGTGAATACCCTTATACTACTGGCACAATGCTAAGTCTTTTATTGCATAAACATACAGTTGATAAACATGTGGATTGAAATATGATAGGTGGCACAATGCTAAGTCCTTCATTGCATAAACATAAGGTTGATAAATATGTGTATTGAAATATGATAGGTCTGTTATTTTATCTTACAAGCATGATATCATGTTTCTGTGTGCTAATATATGTGAGGTATCAATTATATATATATATATATATATATATATATATATATATATATATATATATATATATATATATATATATATATATGAGGGAGCCACATTTGAAAATCTTAAAGAATGTCTTTAGATATTTGGACAAAACCCCTTCATTAGTCATTCGCTCTCCATCATACTTGAATTTATTTAGTCATACCTATTCTGATGTTGATCTTAGAGGATGTCATCTTGACCTAAAAGAACATAACCGGTGTTTGTCAAATTGTTAGATACATACTTGTTTGTTAGCGGTCAAAGAAACAAAGTAGTGTATTCATTTCGACTGCTCAAGATGAATACATTTTGGTTGTAATATGTTGTCCAAAAGTAATATAGATTCAAAGCCAACTAAAATGTTATAGATACAATTAGAAAATAATATTGTTGTTATATTACTTGAATATATCATAATCCAATCAAACATTTGAAGACAAGACATATATACCTTCGATATCCTTCCATTAAAGATCACATCCAGAAAGGAAATTTCAAGATATATTTCTTGATGGAACAACGTTGATCACATCCAGAAAGGAAATATCAAAATACATTTCTCGATGGAACAATGTTTCTTTGACTTTTTAATCAAAATACATTTCTCGATGGAACAATGTTTCTTTGACTTTTTAATGGGCTTGGTATAATGCAGATGAAAATTAGATAAGTTCTTTTTTGAAATATCACTTGTATTATTCTTTCGAATTTACTGTTCATTTACGAAGCTTCGATAATTTTTTCTTCTCTCCTTTATGTTTCTTTTATTCTTTTTATGTTTCATTCATTTTTACTTTTATATTGCTTTTAATTTTCAAACTAAATGATATTTGAAACTTTTGAATATTTTCGAAACTTTGTTAGATCACCTTAATAAATAAATATATGTAGTAAATGTAATTTGCTTTTATCTAGACATTTATGATTATTTTCAATAATTCTCTTTGCAAAATGAGACATGGTAGCATTCAATGATTTCCTCAAAATTAATATTTTAATGAACGAAGTTTTAAAAAATACAGTGACCATCTCATATGACCATCAAAATTAATATTTTAATAAATGAAGTTTTTAAAATAATCAATGGTCTAGCGGTATGAAGTGACCATCTCATATGAGAGGTCAGAGGTTCAAGTATCCATGAAAATATAGGTGGTTATTTAGAATTATATTAGTTAATTTGCCGTTTAAAAAATTATCTAAAATCATTCATTATTTTGTGGTTCCTTATCAATGATCATTAAATCGTACATCTATTCATCTATTCATCTATTCATTTTATTTTTAATCCTTGATTGTTTACGGATATAAGATTTGGATTGATAATACGGGACATTTCGTACTTAAAGATTGCACCAGAAGAAATGAATACAATATGCAAATCTCAAATCCTTGATCTCACAATGATAGTCCATTGACTTATTCATTAATATATGGCATTTCATGGTTCTTCACATTCTATAAGTCTCAATACGGCTTAATTTGTCACAATAGTGAAACAATTCAAATGGGAAATTCTATAAGTCACACTCCGATTTAATTTAGTTGCAATTCAAAAAAGAAATTTGTGGTTCATATGATTATGGTAAATAAATTTTCACACTCCGATTTAATTTAGTTGCAATTCAAAAAAGAAATTTGTGGTTCATATGATTATGGTAAATAAATTTGTTGCAATCCTGCAAACAAATCTCATGAGCTAAATGGTAGTTGATGCATGAGATAATGTTGAAATGTAGTTTAGTTCTTTTGAGGATTACATGTGAAATCTTAATAACTCCAAACAATATTTTTTAAATATACAATTCCAGAAATTTTGCACACATTATATTATTTGGGTACAATATTCATCATATGTTCAAAATACTATTAGAATTATGGTTTTATAGAACTGTTGAAAAATCTTGTTTTAGAGAATTTTTATCGTAGTCTTCAATATATAAACATATTATAATTAGGGAGAATTTCATATATGTCCTTCTTAGACATCAAAATATTATATTTATCCAACTTAATTTCTAAATATCATATTTACCTTTCATAAAATTTCTAAATATCATATTTACCCTTCATAAATTTCAAAAATATCATATATGTCATTTTTAAACATCAAAATATCATATATACCCTTCTTAAATATCAAAATATCGTATATGCACTTTTTAAACATCAAAATATCAATGGTATATATCTAAAATATCATCCATCTACAACATGATAATAATCAACAACAAAAAAACTAAACAATCAAAATATACATTCCATAGAAAGGGTTGAAGATGAATATTTTTGTTTGTCAAGAGGCCGACATTCCAACAATTTAGAAGTTTACATTCCATTATCATAGATGTAAGGATAATATGGTTAAATTTCTTAATTATTCTAATAATTCTAAGGTATAAAAAATATTATAAAATATTAAAAACATTATAAAAATGATTTGTGCAAATATGATATTTTGAAGGCTTATGAAAGGTAAATATGATATTGAGAAATTAAACTGGGCAAATATGATATATTAAATTTTAAGAGGGGCATATATGAAATTCTCCCTTATAATTAGGGGATGTTGACTTATTTTGACGTGGTTGTTTACATGGCCGGTCTAGATGGTAGGCAACCCGGACGACTGTCCAAGACCCACTTCTCCAGGAGGCTTAAATTTTCTCGGATATATATATATATATATATATATATATATATATATATATATATATATATATATATATATATATATAGGGTTAGGTTATTTTGTTTCTAGTAACTGTTTTGTGCCAGAAGGTACAGATCTGGACCATTTGATGGATATAATCAAAGGTCATGATCTGAGGGTCTATGATAGTAGAATATGATAACATGTATCATATAATCACATAAATTCCAGCATAAGGGCATTTTAGTCAATTAACCTATATTAAAAAAAGAAATTTTCAGATTTTTAGGGATAATCAATTCCGTTATTTTTAAAAATCTGAATATTTTAAATTAATTCAAATTTAAAAATCTGATTTTATTTTGTCAGAATGTCAAATATTAATTAGTAAAGATATTTTCGATTTTATTTTTATGGAATATATTTCCAATGCATATATTTTTTATAATTAACCCGATTTAATAATTCAACATATATTCTTCATATGCATTCGAACGTGAATACAAAATCATACATATGGTTACAAACTAATAGTCTTGTACAATTTAATATAGTTATACATATTCTAACAAAATATCATCAAAAATGAATAAAAATATTAAGAAATAACATTCTTATATATATATATATATATATATATATATATATATATATATATATATATATATATACAATTATTAAGCAAATACACATGATCTTCATCAATGGTCCAAATAATGCACTTGATTCAAACTATGATGAAAATGTGATATATTATCGTAAGAATGTAATTATTCGCAAAATATAGTTGTTGTTGAACTCGACTAAATCTTTCTCTTGTATGATCACTATTGAATTCCTTATTTAAGTCATTTTGAAAGAATAAGATGCATTATTCGTTAGTATTAGCAGTGAAGCTAATGTACTTTTTGTTAACAGACATTCTCAAAAACATTTTAACAGAATGCATTTATACAAATAAATTCTGGCAGAATACAAACATTACTTATTTAATAGAACCTAAATAATAGAGAATGATAGCATATTCTAACAGAATGCATTCCATTTTTCCTATCTTGCAATGTTTTTTAGTTTTCCTATCTTGACAAATAAGGAGATTGAAATCGAATTCTGTCAGAATAATAGTGTAAAAAAAACAGCAATACTCAGGAAGCAAAATGTAACTTACATAATTGTGTTTTAACCGTTTCAAATAAATAATCCAAAGATATTAAAAAAGTGTACTTATATTTTTGAAAAACTTAATGCCATATTCATCCGCAAGAGCTTGATCATTTGCATTTGGAACAACCTACAAGAAAATAAGATCATGAGTAAGTGACACATCATTTTTGGATTTTTTTTCAAGGGTAAAACTGTAAAAAAAAATAGAAAAAAATAGCATACCCTTTTGCTTTCATCCATATCAGCCTTATTCCCAACAAGAATCTTGTTAACATTGTATGAAACATGTTGTTCATTGTTGTGAATCCAGTTTCTTATGTCTGGAGATATAAAGAGATTTGTCAACAATGTGTCATTCATTATAAGGTTTTAAAAAAAAAAACATTGAAAGATGATA